ATCCTTTGCTTCTAAAACTCCCAGCATAACTTTGTAAAACCTACAACAATGAAATGAAAATTTTAACAACCCTGCAAGTACCTGGCAAGCGTAATAATGAGGAGTTATAAAGAAGGGAATCCCTCCTAACAGGAAAGTCCTAGCACCTCTGCTGAATTTAGGTCTCACTTTGCCTGAATGTACAAAACAAGACACAAAAAACGGGTTTTCAAAGTACTGAGATCTGGGCAAAACTCAGGGCAGCCATCTTCTCTGGTTCCTTTGTCTATGGTTAGCGGTTTTTTTCAGACAGGAAGGGCTGGAGACAAGCACTCACAGGATCATTCCTGGAGATCTACTGCCATCATGCGGATGCAGTTTCAAAAAAAGTCACAGCGCCACTAAGTATCCTCCCATGATTCTTAGCTATGGCACAAGATGGCGGTTACTGATAATTGGACAATAGTACTCGACCTTCCCTGACTTCTCCTCAGGTCCAAATAGAGACAGGGAGTGCAGGTAAGACTTAGACACTAAATTCTCATCTCCATGTTGCTAAATGTAGTAAACAAGACACACACACAAAAACACTGTTTAAGATGGGCGGTGGTGGCACACGCCTTTAATCCCAGCACTCGGGAGGCAGAGGCAGGCGAATCTCTAGTTCGAGGCCATCCTGGTCTACAAAGCGAGTTCCAGGACAGCCTCCAAAACAATACAGAGAAACCCTGGCTCGAAAAACCAAAACCAAAACCAAACCAAACCAAACCAAACCAAAAACAGTGTTTAAAGTGCTCAGAGAAAGGCAAAACTCAGGGCAGCCATCTTTTTTGGTTCCTTTGTCGATGGTTAGCGGTTTTTTTCAGACAGGAAGGGCGGGAGACAAGCACTAACAGGATCATTCCTGGAGATCTACTGCCATCATGCGGATGCAGTTTCAAAAAAATCACAGCACCGCTGACTCTCCTTCCCATGATTCTTAGTCATGGCCCAAGATGGCGGTTACTAATAACTGGAACCACTGTGCAAGCTTATTTGGGCTTCCCTGACTTCTCCTCAGGTCCACATAGAAACAGGGACTGCAGGTAAGATTACTGTCAGGAGCATTTCTCACAGTATTAGGAACTCCAAAATTCCCAGTTCTGTATCCTACAAATGAGTTAACTCCCCATCCCCCAAGCTGGGGCACAAACCCAGGACAGAGAAAATATGGCCCAAATGTTACCTACTCTCAGATACTGTCTTGATCTGCATTTGGAACTTCATATTTATTTGATACTAACTCTCATACCACATACTTATTGTGTAAAAACTATAAAAATTAATACTACCAAAACTTTAAATAATGCTGGCATCTGGATAGAGTAAAAATGAAAAGGGAAATGTCTTTCATAACAGAAGGGAAAGAGTTCTATGACATGGGCTACAGTTAGGACTCAGATTGGACTCAAATACAAAATAAGACAAAAAATAAAATAACTTTTCAAAGTACTGAGATCTGGGCAAAACTCAGGGCAGCCATCTTCCCTGGTTCCTTTGTCTATGGTTAGCGGTTTTTTTCAGACAGGAAGGGCGGGAGACAAGCACTCACAGGATCATTCCTGGAGCTCTACCGCCATCATGCGGATGCAGTTTCAAAAAAATCACAGCGCTGCTGAGTGTCCTCCCATGATTCTTAGTCATGGAACAAGATGGCGGTTACTGACAACTGGAAGTGCTGTGCATACTTATTTGGGGTTCCTTGACTTCTCCTCAGGTCCCAACAGAAAGGAGGCTGCAGTGTTTGCACCTGGAGGGTGAGGCGCCTCCTGCCCTAGGAGATTCATGCTGCAAGCTGAGCGAAGTCCTGCCCCTCCCCCCTGGACCTCAGCACAGCTATGCTATTGTACCCGGGTCTCAGTCAACAAGGCCTACATTAAGACTCTTAAAGGTCCCGTGATTCCAATCTGCCTACAGTAAAAAGAAAAAACTGTCAAGGAAGCTTGGCCATTCTAGAAAAATACCCACGAACTTCATCGACTCAAATTGTTTTAAAGTGTGTGCACAGAAAAGGTTATCTATGAAACATTTTCCGCAAGATGGCAGTGTTGCCACAGAGCAAGCCATGTCTCTCTGACCCCACCTTTCGAGTCTGAAAAAAACCTCCAATATAGAAGCAGTCCAGTAACTGCTTTGGTCTTGCCTTTTTGTTCCCTGTTAGGAAGCACGTGGCACTCTTCCTTTTTCATTTTTTAACAATGCCACATCTAACAGATCTAGACCTGTGTTGGAACTCCAGTACCAAAAGACAAAACCAAATAAGTTAATAGATACAAATGTAAATGAATAACTAAATAAGTATAAAAACAAAACAAGATGCCTGGCACTGATGGTGCACACCTTTAATCCCAGTACTTGGGAGGCAGAGGCAGGCAGATCTCTGTGAGTTCAAGGCCAGCCTGGTCCACAAGACTGAGTTCCAGGACAGCCTCCAAAGCCACAGAGAAACCCTGCCTCGGGGGAAAAAAGCAAAAAGGGAAGAAAAATGAAAGGGAGACCTGAGGCACTACCTCCTCCCTTCCTCTGTCATGTTCTCTTTTGAAGAAGTTAGTGTCCTAGCAATGGTCAAATCTTGCATTTCTCCTGGTCTGCACCAGCAGTGGTCTCCAGTGCTTTCGAAGGGTGGCTGTTGGTCTTTTTTGTCTTGGGTGACAGATCTCAGCCTTCAGTTCTAGGTAGGAAAAGAAACTGCTATCGAGTCTAGTCTGGAAGGAAAGCAAATCTATTGTTATCTGGATTCACAGTGCAACTTCCCTAGGTATCATGCTCCATAGGAGATCTAGAAAATGGGCCTTGCGTGTCCAGTGGGAGGCTGACTTTAGTGGCCGTGTAAAAAGGGTCCATATACCTGCAAACACTGAATGCTCTACAAATGCCTACTTGGAAAAACATATTGAAATGCCTATGAATTCCAACGGGATGGATCACTGTTTTCCTCTGAAGGTTTCCCTGTAACACTGGAGCATAGGTACAAGCACTTTCCCACATCAGTGGCCTAGTACTGCTTCCCACAGCTTAGCTGTATACATTGTTGTTTTTATGCTGTGTTGTTTATACTTTCAGTCTTATACCTTCTCTTGGCAGGAAACAAATGGAACTTTGAGAGGAGCTAGGCCTATATAATGTGTTCCAGTGTAGCTTGGGATAGATTCTGAGAGTCTGTGTCAAAACAATTGATCCTACGGTACGAGTGTATTTCTGAACTTGCAATGATAGTTCACTAACTTGTCTACATGCTCTTAAGTAGACTTTGATGAATGCCACTTTGATACTGTTGTGAAATGCACATGCTGTCTATTGGTTATGTTAAGATCATTCTGGATTCTTGGTTCCTCAAAACTCCATAGGAATTTTAGTATCAAACATTTCATTACGGTACAACAATCATGACAATAATGCGGCCTACTACCAAAATGCACATCTCTTCAGGGAATATGGCCAACCTACCTATATTTACCTCTCTACCCCATGAACACAGAATGTCTCTATTAGTTATGTAGGTCACCTTGAAACCTTTGGCAATATTTGGTCATTTTCAATGCACTCACTACCCTCTCATCTCTTTACTTATTACCCTAAGTGTATTTTTCACATTGATGTTATAGTAAAGACAAAACAATTGTTCTTTCTCCTCTCTTTCCTTCTTTGGACAGGATGACACCATGTGAGTCCCAAACTCAGTCTTCCCCTAACCCCTAAATTCCTTGGTCCTCATCTTTTTTGTGCATGTGCTACAACTACAAGGCATACTTCATCGTTCTTCTCCTTCCAAACCTCTAAACCAGATACTCTTGAGATGTGTTCCTGCCTCATGACTTGGTATTGGGCTGGCCTTGCTGTTTTCACACCACTGCCATGAGCTAGGAAATGACTAAGAATTCCAACTAGAGATCAGTCTTCTCTTTCCGTGTTTCGTCATTTCACACTGGTGCAATGGGCGCAAGCATTTTCCCACAGAAGTGGCCTATCGCTGTTTCAGAGCTTAACTACATTCACACGATTGTTTCCATACTGGATTGTTTTTCTACTTTCAGTCTTACACTTTCCCTTAGCAACTGAGACATGGAACGTTGAGGGAGCTTCGGCTACATAATGTTCCAGGATAGCTTGTGCTAGACTGTGAGATGGCATTACTTCAAACCCTGCTGACTCATACTAGAAGGAGTAGCAGACTGGTGTCCCCACCAAGAGCCTGCATTTTTATCACTCCCCAGAGAGAAGGAACCAAACTCCACCCCACAACTTCCCCTGCTTGTCTAAGCACCTTCAGGTCCTCTGGTGGCCCCTCACACTACATTAGCACCAGGATAGTACTGGTACCCAAGTTTCTCCTCTTGCCTTAAGGGAAAGGCACTGGGTCCCAAGGTCTAACCCATGCATATCCTACCAGGAATTCTTTCCCCATTGCTGGCACTCATGGGAACAAAGCTGCAATGGTGCTGTGTGTTGTAACTACTCCCATTTGATGGCAGTATGGCTCCACACATGGCCACAGGGCCCCTCCTAGAACGCTTTTCTACCATCCTCCAAGGCTAAAAAAGACAATAACACCAGGACCTAGAGACAAAGGCCCAGGAACGTGGATGGCTAGCATTGAGTTACTGGGGATTTTCCATGGAACTTCGTCCATTACGACCTGTGTTACTTCCCATGGAGTTACTTGTGCTTCAAGGCCTAAACTAGGTAGACGAAGGCCTAGAAAGAAGAAAACTCTGAAGCCTGGAAATCCTGTCTAGGATGCAACTGCCAAGTGTTGGTGTGATTTAGCACATGTTTAACAAATCTACTGTCAGCTGAGCATACACCTGGAAATCCTTGAACTCCCAAGGACAAAGACAGGAGTCTCACAGAAACTTCCAGGCCAGCCTGTCTCACATACTCTAATGCAACCAGGGCTTCATAAGAGACTACCTCTCAAAAGGAGAATATTCTCCCCTCTCAAAACTCCATTCATGGAAGCAAATTCCTCCTGACGTACTCACCATCCAGACGCCTCTTCTCCAGTTACCATTAACACAGACTTTTGGTGACTCTTTACAGCACACGAATTCTGGGATACAGGTAATCAAACCACAGCTTGGTTTAAATCAGTGGCTCTCAACCTTTGCCTCACGCTCGAGCCCTTTGATGCGGTCAAATACCAGACATCCTGTGTGTCAAATATTTACATTAGAATTTGTAACAGTAGCAAAATTACAGTTATGGAGTAGCAACGAAATAAGTTTATGCTGGGGGAGGCCGCCACAACATGAGGAACTGTATTGAAGGGTTGGTCATAGCATTAGGAAGGTTGAGCACAGACAAAACATCTCACAGGCCTGATGTGGTAGTTTTACACCAATAATAATCTCAGGCAGGAAGATCACTGCAAATGTCCAGGCCAGTCAGGACTAGAGACCCTAACTTAAAACCAAAGCACCCCACTGGGTCTACATTTCTAAAGTCATTGTTTATTGTATTTTCAGCTTTTGCTTTTATAGGCCTCCACTGTTGATTAGCAAGTTTGACATTCATGTAAAGCTCATTTTCCTCATATCTTTTTTAAAAACAAACTGATCCAATCCAAACTATAATATACCTTTAATATAGATTTAGGTATTTTGTGAAATAAAATCTAGATATATATGCACATACGTGATATAAAATGATGTGTATACAGATATTCTAAAAGGTTATCACTTGTTTTGAAACAAGTTTTGATACCACTTTTGTTTATGACCAGGATATCATTTGGGAGTGCTATGAAGGCATCATCTTACTAATGAAAGAACCTACTAGGTACTCTACAAAAGATTTAGTTAGCAATTCTGCATACGCACCTGTCCTCCATAAAATCACAGGAAATAGTGGAACATCATTCACAATATTAGAAACACGGAATTTTCAAGGGAGGAAACGAGACAGAACTCAGTAATCTCTGATAGAAATTGGTAGGTATGCAGTATAGCATGTGATTGGCATGTCAGAATGACAGCTGTCATGCATCTTCTCCTATGGCTCAAGCCAAACTTTCCGATATATTTTGATACAAGACTAAAAAGGACTTCTGCTTGTCTAGGATTAACCAGGCTAGTGACTATTTGGGTCTCGCTTGATAAAAGAGACTTCTATCCCAGATAGAGCCCAGACAGTCCAGGAAACTGAGACTAGGAGACAAGCCTGAATCACAAAGGCAGACCTTGACTGGGGGTGGGGGTGGGGCACATATGGTGGGAAAGATTTGTCCTTTCATCTACTCCTGAGGCTAAGGGTTTTAAGTTTCAGAGTAGCCTGGTCCACATAGTAAGTTCCTGGGCAGCCCAAGCAACACCGGGAGGCCCTGCTTCAAAAGAAAAAAGAAAATTGTCTTCACGGTGGCCCCATGGTACAGTATTTACTTGTCCACCTTGCCTGAGGTCTCCAGTCCAATCTTCAGTACGATATATGGAAGCAAATATCACATATGGACATATGCATACTTCAGGGCTTACGGTGTAAGCTTTAGGAAGTGGCTTGCCTGCTGGGCTCACGGATCGTGGCTCAAATGGCAGACCTAAAAAACGTATTGTCTAAAACGGAACTTGATTTTTCACATTGGTTTTACGCAATCTTTTTTCTCTCTGCCTTTGTCCACATTTACAGCATTAAAGAGGAAATGGCCAATTTACTATACAAGTACCATTAAGTGAAATAAAACACTTTAGTGGACAAAAATCCAGTCGGATTTTACCTAGGGAAACGACAAAAATACGGTTTCAGACCTTAATTTGGCTCGAGAAGGAAAACAAAAGTAAAATGGCCGCTCTAATAATGGGCTCCACTGATTTAGGCAAAATGGAGGACACCTGAATTTCTTGGCACTTTTTGTTCCGGAGTGGCGGTTTTGTTTTTTCAGAGGAAGAAGGGCGGGGGAAGAGAAGGCAAAGATGGCGGTTCTGGCGCTATCTGGAGCACTACTGCCATCATGCGGCCAGAGTTTCAAAGAATGCAATACAATTAGCAGCGGCTTTGCTGTGAACCTTAGCTATGTTCCAACACAGGAGTCCGCCCTAGACATACTTCCTTAGGCATAGGCATATTCTGTGTTAGGCATACTTTGTCAGGCATAGGCATATTTCTAAGGCCCTAAGTATTATCTGACCCAAGAACTATTTTTGTTTGAAAGCATCTGTTATATATTTCAGATGTGAATTGTTTAAGCCAGCCAAAAATGGAGTGCTTTTTACAGTTTTGCGGTCTGATCAGAGCAACACCAAAGAAAACCCACCTGTCTGTGACACTCCTTGTAGGAAAACAAGTCACAACCAAACTGGAGGAATGGAGATCCCACCCCTTGACTTCCTGTCTGCATGTCCTGACAGCTGTTGGTCCACAGGGACAATCTGCCAAAGTCCAGATCCATCTGCATGAAAATAAAAGTGACCAGTGACCAAGTGCAAGCCTCTTGGAACTCCCCACAGGCAGGATTAACTGTTCAAACTGTTGCACTCACGGAGATGAAGTTGTCATAACACTATTCTCATACTTTTTGAGATAGGGACTCACTATGCAGACCTGGCCAGCCTGCAACTCACTACGTAGACCAAGCCAGCCTAGAAATCACCAAAATCCGCCAGATTCAGTCTCTCAAGGGTTGGGATTAAATAATTGCTGCCATTAGGTGCGCCACCAAAGCAGACAACATTTTTTAATGAAGCTATTTCCGCAAGATGGCAGTAGAGCTCCAGGTATGTGTACAAATGCCACTCCTCCCCCGCCTCTCTCGTTTTAAAAAAATACTAAGCAGAGACAAAGGCACGAGGAAACATGGACACTGTTCTTTCTTTGCAGTGTACGGACAAGCCCACGCGGTAAATTCATGGCTTTTGTCTGAAACCAAACTGAGGACTATCTGTCTCACCGCCACTCTCAGCAAGCGTGTTAATTTCTTAGGATCACATACTACCGGTCTTTGCTTTGTCTCATCTTTGGCAACCCAAATTATCAATGTATTGCTTTATGAGCAAATCTTCACGAGCCTGGCCTAAAAGAAATAACAAAATTCAGAAAAATCAATGGCCCATCTGTAAGCATCCTGACTTGATTTTTTTTTTTTTTTTTTTTTTTTTGGTTTTTCGAGACAGGGTTTCTCTGTATTGTTTTGGAGGCTGTCCTGGAACTCACTCTGTAGACCAGGCTGACCTCGAACTCACAGAGATCCGCCTGCCTCTGCCTCCCGAGTGCTAGGATTAAAGGCGTGCGCCACCAATGCCCGGCCTGACTTGAATTCTTAATATTAATGACAAATTTACTTTCATTATTTTTAAAATAACAAAGAATTTTTCACCAGGGGAGAAATAAATCAGGCAACCCTGAATAGGGCAAAGGCAACAGGGGAGCCAAGGAGCTGAATATGGGGGAGAGGGGTAGTAAGTACAAGGAAAATGTCTGGCCACAATGCATGGGAGAGAGTCTTGCTAATGGGACAGTAACAAGATTCTTCCTGTAGCCAAACTAAGTAGAATGTCCAAAGATGACTTTCAATTATAAAGAAATAATACATAAGGGTTCTGAAGCGCTGGGGGATAGCTGGAGGGAATATAGTTGTTCAGTAAGCAGGGAAGCCCCGGAGCATGGCGGCACATGACTGTAACCCCAGCACAAGGTAGAGACAGGAAATGAGACACTCCTGTGTCAACAAATAAAACAAAACAAAACCAGGGAATTTTTTTTTATTTAAATAAGAGACTGAGAAAAGGAAAGTTTGCTCCAGGAGCTTGTCACTATTAGAGGCTGTAAATCAATCCTTATCTACTTACTGGGCAGAATAAATGAAAGGGAGGCACCTATTTGCTTTGGATTCCTAGAAGGCGTGCTCAGATACATATCTTTCTTTCTGGGGAGCCTTGAGGACTTTGAGCGGTGAAGTTCTCAAATATATGTAAATCACAAGCACAAGTTGCTGTAACTTTGTCTCATGCTTCATCTCATAACACAAGTGCTTCCTCATACTTATTGAAATGAGTAACAAGCAGTCCTTTACCGGTCAGTCATATCCACATTCACAAAGAGCAGTACAAGGGTCACAAAAGTAGATGGGGTTGACTAGAGAATGGGAAAAGGAGAAGAGATGGTAAGTTTGGCTAATGGGGATGAACACAATACACGCATGCCGTGAGTGAATGAAATGTCATGAGTCTTATTATTCTGTACAGTTAATATACATCTAACTGTAGTAACCTATATCTAACTTAATGGTGAGTGGGAAAATATCAGAATTCCTAACACCGTGAATAAGAATAAATAATTCATCTCACAATTCTGAGTAGAGTCCTGAAGATAACAAAAGCAGACAAATGATGTAAAACCATTAGTATTATTAAAAACTTAGATGTCATGTAATTACAAATATAATGATGTATCAAACTGTGTAAGCATCAAACTATAAAACCAAACTATATTTCGATATACTGACAAACATGAAAAAATAAATAAATTACAAAAAAGTTAGCACAGCAGAGCATGGTGGTATACGCCTTTGGTCCCAGCACTCCACTATGGAGGCACATTGAGTCTGAGACCAGCCTGTCCAACATAACCAGTACCAAGGCCAGGCAAGGATACATAAACTCTTATCTCAAAACAAAACAAGACTAAACTAAACAAAAAAAGGGAGATGATATGTACAACAATACCAACAGACCAAGAGAAAAAAGACAAGTTTCAGTTAGCACCTTAAAAATTCCTAGGAAGTACCAGGCTCAACTATGGGAAGATAGTTTGATCATAAAGATATTAAAGATAGGAATTTTACTTCAGTTGATCTTTGATGCTACAATATTTTACTGTTGTAGTTATCCTTGAAATAAAAACTTCAAGTGCATTTGTTTGATGTTAACATTAGCCCTGCTTCTTTCCTTGTAATCTAGCATTTACTTGCCCCAAACCTACTCTTCGTAGTGAGGGAACGAATGAACTCTGATTGTGTGCACGCTGGGCAAGCACTGTGCCGCTCATCTAAAGCTGCATCCCAGCTTAAAATCTTCATCTTGCGACGGTGTCTTATTAAGTTGCTCAGGGTGGTCTTAAATTTGTGACCCTCCTATATACACACGTCTCAGGCAGCTGGGATAGCAGCTTTCTTGTCATCCAGCAAGGCCTCTAGAACTTCTCCATTCGCTCTCTTGCTCAAAGCTGTGTCCATATACCTAAACAAGCCCATACGCAGCTGGAAAGTAGCACCTTCATACAGGCACGGTGATACGTTCCTGGAAGCTGGGAGGTGGAGGCAGAAAGAACAGGATTAAGAGCTTGGCTTCATTAAGTTCCTGGGTAGCCTGGATTCTGTGAAAGCTGTCTCAAAACGAACAAACAAAACAAATCGACGGAGTTGGTGGTGGGGTAACACTTCAATGAGTCGGTTTACTATGCTGTTATGCTGCTTCAGGAAAAGGTAAAATGGTAAGAGAAATAAGAGACATCGGACTGCTTAAGGAGTTGTCGGATCAAGGCTTCCGCACAAAGTCCCGCCCCATAACTTCCGGAACGCTGGGAGCTGTTACTGCCTTAATTACCATGGCTACAGTTGTTTTCAGGTCAAAATCAAGCCTTTGCTCTGAATTCCTGGACTATCTCAGACGAAAACAGGTGGACCAGTTTAAAGTTAGGGCCGGGTGGGCTTCTTTACGAAATGGACTTGCATAAACCGGAAGTCCTCACTATAATGCAATAACTGCGCTATTTGATTTGAAACTACAGCCTCAAGATGGCAGTCGTGCTCCATACAGTGCTCCGCTAAACACAGCAAGCCCTTCTCCCCTGCCCCCACCCATCGCAACCAAAAAAAAGAAAAAAAGTCATCTTCAATCCAAGTTTCTGGAAGCATGACCTAATAGGATCATTAGAAAAATTTAAATCTTATTCGCTGTCTGTTTTACACCTAAAACTAAACGGAGGCTGAAAATCATTATGCTTATCAAGTATTAAAAAATAGTAATTTTAGGTCAGGCAACGTGGCACGAACTTTCAATCCTAGCACTTGAGAGGCAGAGGCTGGCAAATCTCTATGAGTTCCAGGCCAGTCAGGTCTACAAAATCAGTATGTGCAGGGCTTTATTTAAAGACCCTGTCTTGAAAATTAATTAACTAATTAATTAACTGCCTAATAATTTTATTTCCTCCATTTATGGCTTTTTACCTGTGATCTCAGCTGACTCAGGAGAATACCCTGAATCTATGAGTTCCTGGCCAGTCTTATGAAAGAAACAAACAACCCAACCCAATAAAAATATCACAGCTAGCTTTCACAGCTCTGCTCTTGTTCACTGAACATCATATCTCTAGTATTTTTTCAAGTTATGAAAAAAGATCCTAACCTAAGAAAAATTTAAATTAAATTTTAAAAATAAGAAGAAATAAAAATGTGGGATGTCAAGATCAAAAGTACCTCTAGGTAACAAACCATGTCCTGTTTTGGTTTGTCTCTGAATCTCTCTTAAGTAAATCCCCATTTTCTGTGTTGAATTGTTGGCAGCTTTTTGGCTAAAACCTGAAGAGGAGTGCCCCGGAGTTATCATCACTATATGCAACACATAACAGGATTCCTGCCACGTTTATATTATATGCCAGGATTAATTTACAGCCTCTAACAGTGACAAGCTCCTAGACTAAACTTTACTTTTCTCCGTCTCTTATTTAAATAAAAAAAATCCTGGTTTTGTTTTGTTTTTTGTGTCTCATTTCCTGTCTCTACCTTGTGCTGGGGTTACAGTCATGTGCCGCCATGCTCCGGGGCCTCCCTGCTTACTGAACAACTATATTCCCTCCAGCTATCCCCCAGCCTTTTAGAATCCTTATGTATTATTTCTTTATAACTGAAAGTCATCTTTGGACCCAATCCCACATCATTCCCAGGGAGGGTGAGGCCCTCCTTGGGGGATCTCTAGAGTCTGTCATTTCCTTTAGGGCAGGACTTAGGCCCTTTCGCATGTGTCCAGGCTGAGAGAGCATCCCTCCATGTGGAATGGGCTCCTAAAGTTCATTCATACACCATGGTAAACACTGATCTACTACCCAAGGCCCCAGAGATTTCTGAGGCCTCCTCACTGACACTACATTCGTGGAGTCTGGATCAGCCATCAGTCTGGAGTTCAAGAGCAATCCCTTATCCAGTCAGCTGTCTTTGTGGGTTTCACCATCATGGTCTTGACCCCTTTGCTCATCACTCCTTCATCTGTGTCACTGGGTTCCAGGAGTTCAGTTCAGTGTTTAGCTGGACCCTACAACTTCTAATACAAGTAGGTTCAATTCACCCCAAATTGAGTTTTCCAGGAAGACTATTAAGTGATGTAGCACATCTTTAAGTTTTTCATCTGCTTATTTATTTAGATGTATCACCGTGGATGGAACCCACAGCCTTGTGCATGCTAGGTAAACGCTGTGGCACTGAGCTGTACTCCTAGCCCCAGGTTAAATATTATAAAAGTGATGTGCAACTCTATAAGAGAAACAGGGTTTCAGACCAAGCTGTCTTCAAGCCTGCTCTGTAGCTGACACGGGTCATGAACTCTTGATGCACCTCTCAAGTGCTATGTTATTCCTGCATTATGTAAGACAGTCCTAAAAACATACACAAAACATTTCTATGTTCTTCTTTTTTATTACACTATACATGGGATATGGTGCATGAATCCTTCACTCAACACAGGACAGTCACCATTAACTATTGACAGGAAACATGACTTTTTCATAACATTTTCCTTTTGAAAAATATCTTTATTTACTTTTATTATAGGAATGAAATGCTTGCATGTCTCCCACATGTGTGTCTTGTTCTCATGGAGGTTAGAAGAGGGTATCAGATTCCCTGAAACTGGAGTTATGGGAGTCTGTGAGCTACAATCTGGGTGCTGGAAATTGAACCCTGATCCTCTACAAGAGTATCTAGTGCTTTTGCTTTTTTGTTTTGATTTTTGTTTTTTGTTTTCTTTAAGACAGGGTTTCTATGTGTAGCTTTGGAGTCTGTCCTGGAACTCACTTTGTAGACCAAGCTGGCCTTGAACTCACAGAGATTCACCTGCCTCTGCATCCCACGTGCTGGGACTAAAGGCGTGCACCACCACAGTCCAGCTGCAGCCAGTACTCTTAACCACTGAGTCAGATTTCTAGTTCCATCATAGTATTACCTTGTAGTTGAGCAAATACATTTGCATCTTGGCAAAAACAAAAGCCCACAAAAATAAAAACCAGTATGTAGAGCAAATACTCTTAAAAATTCTTTATAGCTGTCTCATCTTTGATCCATTGCATTTTGCTGTTGTATTTATTAGACAACATGTGTGGGCAAGCTAACAGGACTCATTGGTATGAATTTTGATTTGTATGATATAAGTAATACCCTTGCCTCTTCAGTTGCTTCTATTATACTTTTCTCATGTCACTACATGTAGAAATGAAAGATAGCATAAAAATTAAGAGTGAGGTCTTTTGAGTGTGAGGCCTTTGGAGGCTACTGGGAATATGGGGATTTTGAAGAGGGAAAGAAAAAGTGTGACATATTATCAAGGTATACTAAAGATCTGCATGAAAATGTCATAACCAGCAGGTTTAATGGATCATGCCTAATTCCAGCACTTGACTGACAGGAGGATGGCCACTAATTTAAGGACAATCTGAACTATATCATGATTTCCAGACTATTCTGAATTTGAGCCTTAAGCCCTGGTCCTCTTCCCACAAAAAAGAAAAATGCCATAGTCAAAGTCACTACTTCATACAGTTAATACATTCCAGTAAAACAAGAGATCTTTAAATCCTACATAGAAATATGATTACTTTTAGAGAAAAAGATATGGTTATTTTCCAATTATATTTTTGAATGGTACTCGGTTTTTCCTTTTTAGTAATTATTTCAAATATTACATGTTGCCAGGCAGTGGTGGCACACACCATTAGTCTCAATACTCAGGGGATAGAAGCAGGCAGGTCTCAGTGAGTTCAAGGCCAGCCTGGTCTACAGCGGGAGTTCCAGGACAGCCAGGGCTACACAGAGAAACCCTGTCTCAGAAAAAAACATTGTTTTCTAATTTCAATATTTTAAGTCTAAACACAAAAATAAGTTAAAACGTCAAGGCTGTGGCTGAAGACATAAGTCAGTGGTTAAAAACACTTGTTGCTCTTCCAGAGGACCTGGGTTCTATTTCCAACACCCACATGGTAGCTCACAGAAGCTATAACTCCAATTAGTTCTTTGGTTTGAAGGTTCCCAGATACTTCCTCTGTACCTACTCACCTTCTGAATCCATGCTTCTGTGGTCAACTTGACTGAAACCTGTATGTAATAAATAAAGACACCTCCTTTTTCTTGTACTCCCTAACCAAAATAGCTTCATACCAAAGTTCCAATGACAGCAACAGAGAAAAGCTAAAATTCCAACAATTTGCTTTTCCATTCCTAAACCAAAGGCATATATCTCTCCCCTGAAGACGACTTCGATAATGACTTTCAATTGTTCCAAAGACTTAAGAAGGCTATAGTGAGTGCACGGGACTGAGGACAGTGGTGCACGTCTTAATCCCAGCACTTGGGAGGCAGGTGCATGGATCTCTGTGAGTTCAAGGCCAGCCTGGTCTACAGTGGGAGTTCCAGGACAGACAGGGCTTTTTACACAGAGAAACCCTGTCTTGAAAAACCAAAGGGAAAAAAAAGAGACAATCGTGCATATGGAACCAGGAAAACACTCCCCCCTTCCCTACACCACTACTACTCTCAAAAAAGGAAAAGGAACCCATCAATCCTCTTTCTGCCCACCTCTGTATTTTCTATGGAGTGTGACTACACAACCACTTTCAAAAGACAACCTTTGGGCAAAGGGATGTCTATGACAACGGTTAACTGATGTAACCACTGGCACTGGAAGTGGTGAATCAATGAACAGCATTGCTTTTCTGGCTAGTTTATGCAGTTCTATAAATCTCCACACAGTGACTCCGCTTTCATTTTCTTGCTCACTTAAAGCGTGGGAGGGGGCATTACAGGAGTAATTGTAGAACTGTGGCTTACTTTAGCAGAGGTGAATTTTAGACTCTGTTAAGGGGGCTGGAGATGGATCACTGGTTAGGAGCACTGGCTGCTCTTCCAGAGGACCCAGATTCAATTCCCAGCACCCACATGGCAGCTCACAACTGTCTGCAACTCCAGTTCCAGGGGATCTGACACCCTCACACAAACATACTTGTAGGCTAAACTTTTGAATTCCTGGGATCCAGGAAGGTAGTATTGCTTTAGGCTTCCATTCACCCTCTGTCTAAATGTAGTCTCTTAATGTAAACTAAATGTATGTAAATACAAAACTTTTTATTTTGTTTTGATTTTTGGTTTTTCAAGCCAGGGTTTCTCTGTGGAGTTCTGGCTGTCCTGGAACTGGCTCTGTGGACTAGGTTGCCTCAAACTTAAGAGATCCGCCTGCCTCTGCCTTCCAAGCACTGGGATTAAGGGCATGTGCCACCATCACCCGGCAAATACAAAGTTCTCACAGCTGAGGATTTCTAGGGCTTCAGGCTACCTTATCTGTGGTCCACATGTCTAACTTCAGAAACAGCACACCATCTTCACACATGTAGCCTCCTTAGTCTAGCATGTGGGGAAGCTATTACTTCACAGCACACAGCTTAACCTAGCTGGCAGAGCATTTCTCACTACTACCTGCGTAACCGCAATGGGCTGAAAAAGACATGGGTCACCTTATTACTTCCATGTATTACTCAAGACCATGGAAAGATGCTGGTTCATCAACGTCTCCACTCATCCTGTGGCTTACCTTAATCGGGAGCAGCCTCAACGACAGCCAGGCCCATCACCAATTTCCTCAGTAACTTCTCTGTCCTTGTAGACATGGATGAATGCTGAGTAGCAGAGGTGAAACACCCTGGGTAAACAGTGGGTAAGTGGGTGAGCAAACATTACAGCAGTATACCAGAATACAGTTCCTTCCTCCCTTGTAAGTGGTCAACTGCCAACACCATCATTGGTACAGAGGAAGTTCGTGTACCGTGAATCCCATGAAACATTCCATTTCTTACTAGGCTGTGACCAAGTGATCTAGGGTTCCCGGTGTGCTTAAAATTCCCATAAGAGAATATCTTGGTAGGCCTATAACAAATCTCCATCAAAAAAATGCTAAGAAGCAGCAGGCAGTTGAATAATACCTGCTAACACGAATCAACAGTTAGGTCCCCAGAATCACGAGTTTCATTTTTATTATTAGAATAACAACAGGTTTACATAAGCAAAGTTTCACCCCTTATGAAAACTGAGGTACAAGCAAATCCTTCTAGAGTTCCTCAACCTGTGGGTTGAGACTACCTTGGGGTTGAACAACCCTTCCACAGGGGCTACCTAAAACCATCGGAAAACAGATTATGATTCATTAACAGTAGCAAAATTACAGTCATGAAGTATCAAGGAAATCATTTTATGGTTGGGGGTCACCTACTCTAGAGTACACCTTCCACTAGTCCCCAGGGAAAAGCTGCAATAGCCACTGTAGCTGTCTCCTCGAGTCCAGAAGACTTGTTTTAATACAATATTTCTATTACTTATGAGAGTTTTCATGCCATGTATTTTCACATTCATACCCCTTTCCTCCCCTTGACTCCTCTTAGATTCAACCCTCACCTCCTTCCCAATTCCTGCCGTTTTTATTAATCATTTTCTCCCAGCCGATCAGTTTCTCCTCCTCCCAGTCCGTCCCTTCTGCCAGCCCCATCCACCCCTTCTTTTGTTTCAGAAAAGGGCAGGGTTCCCATGTGTATTAGCCATAGAGAAGACTTTTGGACCTTCTCATTGTGTAAATCCCTGTCGATGGAATTAACTGGTGTGGCGCCATGGTACACACTTTGCTTTAGGCTCTCCTTGCTCTTGACAATGGAGGATCAATTCTGAGTGTCTTTTGAGACTTGGGAAGGCACATCAGCTACTTCAGCTTGGACACCTTGTACCAGACCACTGCCCTATTAGTAAAGTAGTGGAGTCAGAGAACAAATGCTCAGAGCTTCCCCCCAAAGATCTGAGTGCTTTGTTTCTGCCCTGATTTCACTGGCTAGGAGCCACACGACTGACTTCCTGTAAGTGACCTAGCTGATAGTTGTCCTCAGGTCCTCAAGCATCCATTGCCCCGCCCCCCACCATTAGTGTCTTCCATTGGATCCCATCAAACTCCTACTCTGAAACTAAAAGATGTCTTCTCAGGGTCCAAGCCCATTTAACTTTACCAAAGAGCCAACCTTTCCTAACTACTAGACTTACCGGAGATCTCATTGACACCACAGGGAATTGGCAAACAACTTCCTGAGTAGTAGTATTGTTCTGCAAAATCTGACTAGCCTTGCCACTTCCACTCCCATTCATTGGCTGAAAAACAAAGAAAGTTGCCTCCCCATTTGCTCTGATGAGGGACAACATACAGGCCTGTAGCACCCAGTTTCTCAGCTATTTCAAAACTTCCATTTCCACTCTTCCAAAAGTTGACACAACTGCCCCTCCATTCAGTCAAGGATCCCTATGGTCACCCAAGTCATTTGCTTCAGTGAGGAATCCCTCAGAGATCCAAGACTAAGAAAACAAAGAGGACTCTGGAATTTAGCTCCCAGAGAAATGCAAATTTAGGCGCCATGTCAGGTGACTTAGGTCTCAGGAGCAGATTCCCAAGGAATCCTCCATTTTCTCACCAGGCCTTTTGTGTTCAGCAGGAAGCATCGTGGCTGGAACCGTAAATGGAGTTTCAGGGGAACTGCACATCCAATTGCATAGTATTATGTCTCTCCAGGAGCGGCTTTATAAATTCCAGCCAAAAGGGACATGAGTTTATCTCACAGGTTCATTGAATGGAGCACAAACACATTTCCTTCACCCACAAACCATTAATAGGTCCCATGACTTTCTCATGATTCGTTAAGGCTTACGAGTATTCTTACAGTGTTTACTCCTAAGATACAGTGCTTGCAAAGAATTTACAAAGTTGCCCTATCTTGATCAGGAATGAAAGCTCTTGAATTAAACACTGATATTCCCCAGCAAGTTTACTCCCGATTTGTCAGTACACCTATGTAATTATATATTTATGGTCGACAAACTGCAACAAATTTATAACAAAATTGAATTTACACACACATCACATTTTAAATTTCAAACATGCATTTCTGATTTCTGGGTAGATTAAAATATCCTGAAACATTTGAAAGGCATGGATTTTAGATAAATAAAAGACTTCCAAAGTGTTTCTTCATTGATCTTGTTCATTAAGGAATACTAGTTTCTCCATTAATAATAAAAATTCTATATAGCACATAAAATAACTATAGTATTACCATTCAAAGAATTTATTAGCGAGGCCATCCTTACCTAACCTGCCATGTGATAATAAAATAGGTACTACACATTAAAGCTTAAGAAACATAGGGGCTCTAGCCACATTTTCGTCTCAAAAAAGGTCTTTAAACACTAGAAAACAAACAACCGAAGGTTGACATTGGCATCTTGCAAATTGCAAACAGTAGACCTCAAGCATTCTCTCCACATACGAGAAACAAGAAATTGTGGCAAGCTTGATTGTGCTTGTTTCAGAAAAAATATGTAACTGTATATCTGAATAAACCCAATTTTAATGTGTTAATTAATCATATATCATATTTCAATAAGGGCAGAAAAAAAGCTATCAGTTTAGAAACTAGTCACCACACAGAATTCAGTAGTTGTTTTGACCTTAAAGGCAGGTTTCCTTTAAAAACAAAAGGAACAGGTATTTCCAAAATTTAGCAACACGTGTGTATATGCTAAGAAAGCTGGCCAGCAGACGCATTCACACCCTTTTATGTGGCTGTAATCTATCAGCTTGGTCTATGTACAAATACAATACAGATATGAATACACAGCAGCGGCTGGAGATGTCCAAGTTGAACAGCAGTCATTCCAGTCTAACACTGACCAGGATTGAAAGTAAAACGCTTTAAACAATATCTACAAGGAAATGGTTGTATATAACCATGAACTCAATGCTTCTCCTTAAACATAACCAGATGCATACCATTTGCCCCCTTGGAAATCACTGTAGACTTCTGAGTGCTTAAATTATTACTACTATTCGTCATTTACCCCAGTGACCCTTTCTATTTCAGGAAATGGTAAAAGTTAATCTGCTGCTGGCAAAGTACTCCAGTTTTGAGATATTACAAATGGTACCTTAATCACAAAAGCAACTAAAACAGTCTTGCCACACATTCTCATAGCTCCACTTTGCATGTGGAAATACTTTTTTAAATTCCCTTGTACTTTGGGCATCAAATCATTAGGGTTCCTGATTTGTAATTTTACTGCTTTTAAAATATTAGTAATTTTTAGAATACTGCTGCTTTAAAAAAATTCTCCCTGCTTTTGTATTTTCTAGAAACAATCCCGCCTTCGATTTAACATACCATGCAAGAGTCGTGTTTGGAAAAAGCGAAGTAAAGCTATATCACCTCTAGCAGATGACCTTTGGGCTGCTTGTCTTCGGTCCTCTGGCCTTGGTCTCCGTCCGTTTGGCGTGGTCGGCTTCCTAGAAGTTCGGACTGCTCTTGGCTTACCCGGGTTCTTTCACTCCTCCCCAAGTCTCTAAAACAAAATGGAAGTACCTTTCAGCAAGCACATAAAGTTCTCTTCCCAGGTACCAGGAATTGTCCCACGTGTTGGTCTCCTCGGTGCCCCAAGGGGGAAGGGAGGAAAGGAAGAGCTAGAAGAGGGGCTGTCTGCAGGTGGCCTCCCTGGTCCCGCCTACTCTCGGGAGAGCCTGGCCCTGCTTTCCCAGGGCCTCTCGGCCTGCACTTCCCCATAGGCCAGCTCTACACACGTGGGCCATAGGGAGGTCTTGGGAACAGAGAGCATGGCTCAAAGTCTGACGGGGAAAGCTCTGGGGAATTTTCCAGAAATGCCCTCACGGTGGCGGTGTCGCGACCAGAACTATCAAATAGAGCCAGTCTCCTCCACAGGCTTCTCTCTTCCAGTGTTGGGAGGAGAAAAAAACGTGACCAAGAGACAAACACCAGAAACTGGGTTGCCTTGTCTTAACCCAGTTTGAGAAAGTCTGCTTGCATCGCGGCTTTCCTCCTGGCTTTCATCTAAAATCAAATAGAGGCCTAGTTCAAGAATTCAATTTCCACCTGACCAATCTTTACAAGCTCTCCTCAACCCTCACCCCACCCCCGGCTTCACTCAGCATTTTCTCATAGAACCAAATTGTCTTGGAATATACAGGATAAACTTCAGGGACCCCAATCTAGTAGGGAAAAGAAAACGGTTCCAGCTAAGGGGGTGGAGAACAGCTACTCCACGCATCACTAGTCCTCTTCCCAAAGTCCCCAGGGAATCTGCATGTATTCTGGCCAGAATATCAAACCTGTATGTTGGGGGGGGGACTCCACAACTCCAAGTTATGTATCTATTGGCTATGAGCACATTCACTGTATTAAGGAGAAAGGGGTTTTGATAACTTTTTTCATTAAAATTAGAAGAAAAAAGGACGTCCACTTGTACAGTGTCATTTAGAGTGATACACATACTCAAATATGGATAAATTCTGGGTGGGAAAAACTTACCCTTGTGCTTTCCTTACCAGAGGCATGCCTTTCTGTCGCGTCTGCTCCGCGGCCTGTGTCCGAGAACGTGCGGAGGGTGTCGGGGATTGACAACACAGAGACTCTTTCAACGATGTAAAGAAAACTTTAAGCAGGCTCCAAAAAGGTTCAAGAAAACTTCCTAAGAAAGGCTCCCACCAGAGAAGCTTCTGCTCTCTCCTCTACCCTGGCTGGTTCTCCTCTGACCCCAGAAACTGATCTGGGCGTGGCAGAAGAGGCGGTTAGTCTCTGGACAAGGTCGAGCTCAGGGTGGTTTCTGCGGGCAGGCCTTTTCCAGGAACTTAATGCCCTCAGGCATTGTATTGTTTTTAGTATACATTGTCTTACAGCTGCCTACTCCCAGGCAGAAGGGGAAGTGGGTCTCTGCTCAAGGTCTGGTGTTCCCACACCTTTCTCATGGCTTTATTATGACTGTCAACGACTTCGTGGTGTAGGAACGCATTACCGAGGGAATAGTCTTAGAGTATTTTCTTTTACAGAAACAGCCACGGTATCTGCTAAGAGTTCAGAAGATAACCGTGTGCTGCTGATGTAGCGTAATCACCGTCATAAACAGCTCATGTTGGAAACCACTGATGAACATCTGCATGATGTTTCAACATCCACATACAAACACAGTTTCAATGTATTGGGTATTTACTTCAGCACATACACAAACATTTATACTAAGCTTCCTATATGCTCATGTTTAAATAGGATCTATTTTCATGTTTCATATTTTTATCTGTTTCCAGGGCAGTTTATTATTATCATGGCATTCTTTTTCAACGTAATATTTTTATTGATTATTTGGGAATTTCATACAATGCACCCTGATCACACCAGATTCCCATTACGCCCAGGTCTACCCTCCAACCCTTGTGACCCCCAATAGAAAAAATTAAGTCCAATTTGAGTTGCCCATATACTTACTGGAGCGCTGTCAAACTCCGAGTGGCCAGCCCCTTAAAGATAACTGAATCCTTCCCCATCATAAAATGAAACATTGGCAAAAGCTGCTTTTGTTGTTGGTATTGTTTAAGATAGTATCATGCTGTAGCCTAGGCTGGCTTGGAACTTATTATGTAGCTCAGGCTGGCCTCAAACTCAGCATTCTACCTGTCTCAGCTTCCTGAGTGCTGGGGGTATAAATGGGTAACAGCACAACTGAAATACACAGTTTTCTTTTTATGAAAGTATCTCTCTTACTTTTGATTACATGTGCATATGGGTATGTGTCTGTGTAGGTGGGGGATGAGGCCAGAGGCGTTGGATCCCTTGCAGCTTGAGTTATAAGCATTGTTAACTGCAAGATGTGGGTTCTGGAAACAGATCTCAGGCCCTTTACAAGAGCAGTAAGCACTATTAGCCACTGAACCATCTCTCCAGTCTCCCGCCCCAAACAATATATTGTTTGGCATATTGACTAAAAGGATTAGGGTCTCTGGGAACAAATATTCAGTCTCTATATGGATCCAAAACTCATTTAAATTGAGGCTGGAAAGATGGCTCAGCAGTTAAGAGTTCTTGTGCTTTTACAGGAGACCCAGGTTCAACTTCCAGCACCCACATGGTGGTTCAGAAACATATGTAACACTAGTTCCAGAGGATCGGATGGCCTCCGTTACCCAGAAACGCGTGTGGCGCACATGCATGCATGCAAAACCTCACGTGCATAAAATAAAGAAAAATTTAAAATATATGTAGAAGATGTAATTTATTATTTCAATTGTAATTTATTTATTTAAATTGGAAGTGGTGGCACACACCTTCAGTCTCAGCACTGGGGAGGCAGAGGCACACGTGATGAGTTTAAAGTCAGCAGGAACTACACAATAACAGCCTGTCTCAATAAAACAAAACTTAAATAGCAACTAGAAATATAATTCTTTGGATGCCACTCACGAATATGATCTGAAGATTTGGGTTTTCTAATCCTTATCGTGCTAACATGGACAGTATGTATTACTCAAAAACAAATACCAAATTATAACTATACAGATATGCTTAACAAGATGTAGGATCTTTTCTCCCCTCAAAATTATTTTTTTATGAATTTAAAAATTATTTAACTAAAATCTCACCGTGTAGCGGAGGCTGGCATGGACATTCATTCAGTATAAAGCTGAGGCTAGCTTCAAACCTAAGATCCTCTTGCCTTAGCCTGCTCAGTGTTAGAACTGCAGGTGTATGCTACCACGCCTGAACTTTAAACTTTTATTCTGTGCTTTCCATACATTTATTTTTCTTAGTATAAAAATTGCTTAAAAGATGGTTTGTTTTTGTTGGTCCTTTTCCTCCGTTTGCCTCCCTCAAACCCGTCTCTCCTTCCTGCTGTGCCCCATTCTTCCTCAACTAGAACCTCCGTCTTCATTGCTGCCGCCTGTACTCTGGTACCCTCCTCTCTCCCCTTCCTTTAGGTCCCCTCTCTAGCTACATGCCAACCTTAAGACCTCTTTTTTACCTCTCATGATCCCATATATAGCTTCATGAACGTACAAACACACATTATATACACATATGTAAGAATTAAAATCCGGGCATATTTGCCTCCTTAGCACAGGAGGCAGCACGTCAGTCCCATAATCTGGGCACTTTCCAGGCCTGAGCCGGTGGAGGACAGAGATGCCTCTCACCCTGACCTCTTGGAGGGGGTCACAATCAACCATGAGTCTCCGGCGCTGGGTGGTCAGGCACCATCATACCAAGTGCCACCAGTGGTTTCTAGGCCCCAGCGTACGGGAGAATAAAGGCAACAGCTCTGCGCAGTGCCTTGCAGATGGGGTGGGCAGGACTTAACCAAGGGTCATGGATGACTCAACCAGGAGCCGGCGGGCACGCTGGGCAGTCTGTGGTGAGCGGGTACAGGGTAGGGAAGTAGAAGAGACAGAGAGGCAGAGCAGTTCATGGTCTGGGAAGAGAGGAAGATCTGAAGAGGTGAGGGCAGTGAATTGGCTGACATTCATGGCCTGGTCAAGGCCATTAATTCACCCCAGTCAAGGGTGATGTCCAAGCCTAGGCTATTGCCAGGGGTCAGGTCTTGGTCTGAGGCCCTGAGGCAGATGAGAGGGCCTGTGTTGATGTCTGTGGCTACTGTTCCCACTGAGGGCTGTGCAGAGGCCTATGGGCTGGGCTGTCACCTGGGGACCATGATGCTATCCAAGGGCCATGCTGACACAGGTGTCATGCCTGAGAGATCTATACTGCCACCTGCGGCCATGATGAGATTCCAACCTGAACTGCTGCCAAGGACCATGTGATTCTACCATAGCCGGAGTCTGTGTTGATGTTCTTGGCCCATGTTGGCACCAAAGATCACATAGACGCCTACCGTCTAGGCCGCAACTGTGACCATGCTGGTATCCGAGGGCTGTGCTGTTTGTGGTTGCCCATGTTTATACCTGAGAAGGGGGGGGGGTGTCGATTGAGGACAGGAATAGACAAGAGACAAGAGATATATCCAGGAGGGCATTCAGTGAATACTGAATCACCTATGCTTATTGTAGTCTTTTTTATACTCCCATCAAAAGAGGGGAGAAGGCAAAAGACTTTCTTACCAAGACACAAAGAGCAAACCAGCATAATTATCTTGTCAATACCCAAATCACCAAGGAACTATCTCCTGACGTGAGCACTGGGACAAAGTCGATTTGGGTGACCAGCACTGTCATCTGGGGCTAAGGTATCATCTAGGTCAGAGTTGCTAGCAAAGGCCGTGTCTGGGCCTGTGGCCTTACTGCAGGCTGTGTTGATGTTCATAGTGCCAGATACCATCGAAGGCCATTTTGTGCCCAAGGGCTGTGCTGACACCAGGATCAAGCCAATTTCAGTGCCCAGCACTGTCATCTGGGGCCACAGCATCATCTGGGCCAAGGCTGCTGCCGAGGACCATGTCTGGGTCCATGGGTCTACAGCAGTCAGGCTCTGAGTTGATGTCTGCAGCACCTATTAATACCAAGAACCATGCAGGTTAATGGGTCTGGTGGGCCA